ATTTGATAATATCAAAAGGCAAGGAAACAAGTTGGTTAGTCCTACCTAGTTTTTTAAGTCCCGCTTTTTCTTTGCCATGCACTACCTGGGATCACCTAGAGCCCCATAACTTCTTTTGGGTCACTAGGCCTGCACCTATTTTCCTTTTGGAGGAAATATGCTGCAACTTAAGGTCTAGTAAAGACATAGCAGTGAGATATCTATTTCCTTGGTACTGTCCCTAGAAACATTCTCAGAATCCTTACAAAGTTCTAGTGTGAGTCGCAAGAGGGTGACTTTTGGAGTTTTAAACAGGTTTGGAGAGGCTCTGAACTTGAATTAAGTTTGTACATCGCCTGCCCTGACACGCACCCAACAGAGAAGTTAAAACTGAGTCAATCAAGCCACGCAGATCTGTGAACTCTAATAGGTGGCAGAGAAGAAAGCGAGAGGGCCAGGGATGGGCTCCGCAGCTTCTCCACTATCGACCCGAACAAATGGACTCCAGTGCTTTCATGCTGAGGACCGAATCAATCACTGAGCGTGCTGGTGTCTCTGCCAGACTCCATCTGATGAGCTCCTCTGTACAAAGCCCCCTCTGTGTCCCTCCTTTCAGCCCAGACTTCCTAATCCACTACTGACAATTATTTCCTTAGGAACTGCAAAAAAGCCATATAGTCACTAGAACAGCAGGGCTTAAGGTATGGGCCAGTCTTCAAATGTGTCCATCATTTCTATGCTGAGCCTTCCTCTGGATCTCTTATTGGTGAACTTGTCCCTAAACCATGAATGACCACTGCAGACAGCTAAGTCCTCTGTGCTTGCCTGTCTGTGTTTTTCCAGAGCACGCTTATCAGAGTAAATGTGAATCAGAGACTGTATCATTAGATAGCCTAGACTTTCAGCAAGCTTAACTTTCCGTTTTATAGATGCATAAACTGACAATGCCTTGTGCAAAGTTATGTAGTTAAGTACCCATAGAACCAGGGTGACAAAAATAGTCCCCCGACTATCTAATCAAATGTCCATTTCAATACAGAAGGCTTTAAAATGGACACATTTTGTTTACCAAAAGCTTTTTTGAGATCCACAGGCCATCCTTTCTTAAAGGTTATGTGTCCCTTGATCCTACCATTCCAGATTTCCTATTCCCTTCCTCATGCCTCCACCAAGAAATTCAGTACAGCACCAGGAACACACACAAGCCCAGTCTTGGGCAATAACGGGCTGCCTCCCTCCTTCCTTCACTATTTCCACCCTCTGTCCCCAGTGTTCATCTTCTCCGGCCCTTTGATCCTTTAGCTCTGCCCCAAGGCCATCCTGTATGATGACTAGCAGGAATAATCTCTCTAACCCTGGGTCTCTGTGGGTTCCCTCAGACCTTAATTTTGAACTTTCCTTCTAGTACCACTGATTGTGGGAAGAAGGGGAAAGTTGCTGCTGTCCCTACGGTACTCACGGTTTATACACATCATTTTGAGAAACTCTTCTGAAAAGGACAATGATCAGTCAGGACAGAAGCCGGCCACAGCAGTGGAGCTGAGTTCCACTTTGCTGGGCTTTAACCCCTTAGCTTCTGAATCTCAATAAGATCCTGAAGGATCATGGAAGAGGAGTGGGAGAGAATAGGGCAGTGGAGGGGTAGGTGTGGGCTTCGCTTGGTGGGCATGAGGAGTGGCTATTAACCCACAGGTGTGAAAGTCTTTAATAAAATAGCAACTGGTACAGCCATACTGGTGCAAATCAGTAGGATATTGATCCTAACCCTCCCACAGAACACTAGGCCCCACAGCAGCCCATCCAAGTGTACCCAGTCTCCTTGGCAGATGAGGAGGGTGAGACACCAATCAAAACTATTTTCAAAAAGATGGAATAACATTAACATGAAGGTACCGCTCCCAACTCTTCCATACATATGGTGTCTACCAGGAGAGTGGTCCCCTGGACGTGCCTTCGCTGGTCATGCTGGATGGCTAGTAGTTTCTGCTGGGTGAGAGGACCATGATAGTCAAGTCCACTGCTTCTCAAAGTGTGGTCTGCAGATTAGCACTTGCCTGTGAAATGTTTTTAAACTTTTATCTGTGATAAAATAAGAGGCCTAAGCCAGAATATAAATGAGTCATGTAGCTAAACACATGTTTTTAGTTCGGCTGATTTTATCAATGCAGGAAGCATTGTAATTGTGTTCATTTATATTCTGGTACAAATTCCTTATGTCATTGCAGCAGCCAACAGGTCAAGGGTTCATGGAGCAAATACTTTGAGTAGCACTGCTCCAATTTATATTCTCCAACAAGGCCTCTACTTCAAGCAGTGCAAAGAGCATATTTTGGTGGTCAGCTCTTTGGTATCTATTTCACAACTTTGCCACATTCTACCCAAATGACCATATTCAAGTTACGTAACCCCTTCAAGCTCAATGTCCTCATCTTTAAAATGGGAAAATATTACCTATCTCTTAAGTGCTTCTATGAAGATTAGATGAGATATAGAGTACACATTCCCTGCCCAGAGGCTCAGAGTAAGCACTCCATAAATGTGAATTATTTCAGGCACCTTTTTCCACATGCAATATCACACACAGAGGCATAGCAGAATCTGTATAGATCACAAATGTGTGTGTTTATGTACATATATGTGCATATATTTATGCATCTATATGTATATATAAATGCCATTCATCTTTGCTAAGTTTTGCTTCTCTTTCTTCCAACAGAAGTCTTCATTTCTCTCTAACTTTATCTGGTTATTTGATAACACAGAAAGGCAAAGCATTCAGAACTAACATTCAAGGGAGGCCAGGGCTTTTATCCTTCTATATAATTAAAGTTGTTGAATAGGGTGAGATAAAAGATTAGTATTTCTAGTATATATAATTTATGTGGAAAGTGGAAGTTGAATTGAAGAAAGAAAATTCAGAGGTTAGAGCAGAGAAGAGAGCAATTTTCCCCCCAAAAGATTCATTTGACTGGCAGATAAATAGGTTAGAAAGTCACAGGAAGCAGCGTGACAGTCTCAGGCGGCCCAGGGTAGCTTTTTGTGGCACCCTTCACTGGGATGAGACCTTAACACAGTCTCCACTCCTAGTACCATCTCCCAGAACCCCAGATCATGGTTTATTTGGGGAATATTTGCTTGTTGTAGCCAAGGGCTTTTTAACT